GTTGCCGGCCTGGAGCTGTTTAATATTGATGTGCTTTGGTATCATGTGCTTTTTTCCTTTGCCCACAGTAAGGTATTATTTACAAAATGGCCTCAGGAGAAACACTGACTTGTAGATAAGAATTACTTTGTTTTCATTCAGAATAGTACACAGTGAAAGGAGGGGCTGGTATGTGCAGGTTGTTATTTCAGTTACTGATGCATGTGCTGTTAGTGACACATACATGTAGGTTTATGCTTTTGGTTTTCCTGAGCCCAGTGTATTCTTAAACCTGGTGGTTTTGTTGTTTTGTTTTTTTTTTTTTTTTTTTTTTTTTTTTTTTTTGAGACAAGGTCTCCCTGTAGCCCCAGCTGTCCTCCTGGAACTCACTATGTAGACCCGACTGGCCTTGAACTCACAGAGATCTGCCTGCCTCTGCCTCCTGAGTGCTGGGATTAAAGGTGTGTGCCACCATGCCCTGCCCAAACCTGGTGCTTTTTAGTTTTGGAGGTGCTGACTAGTTTAGTGCTGACATGTTGATTGGTAGCAAAGCCAGCAGCTAGCACTGAAAATTAGTGTAGATGGTAGTCATTGCATTTTAAAAATGTACGCTGGTGATCCTGTCATACCCATGAGATACCTGTTTGCAACTGAGGATTGCTAATACTAGTTCTCTCTGACTTTCAGACAATCACTGTAAATTTGCTAATTTGGAATAACTGGAGCATACAATCAGTTTACAAAAATGTGGGACTACTTAGATTTTTAAATAGCTAAGGTGAGAGAGTGGTGGTCCTTTGTTCTACAACAGAAGGCTAATCCTGCCAGGTGTGGTAGTGCACGACTTTAGTCCCAGCAGAGGCAGCCAGATCTCTGTGAGTTTCAGGCCAGCTGAGATTACAGGGAGACCCTGTTTCAAAAAGCCCCCCCCCCCCAAAAGGCTAATCCATGTTTGTGTGTGTTTGATTTTTTTTTTTTCCCTTGGAGATAGAGAATAAAGTGATGTCCTCCCTTTGCCTCACAATTTGAGGAGGAGACATTATTATCGATTATTTTTGTGGAAACAGTCTCTCCATACCTGATTGGTTGGGGCCCCTGTGAGAAAAATTTATCCCATTTGTACAACTTTTTGATGAAAGCAGATTCTTGAAGCCTTTTTCAATTTGCCGTGAAAATAGTATAAACTGACAGCTGAAGGTGTCAGAGTCTGTACTCTGGATGTCTAAAGCCTAATTATAGGTACTGCAAGTGCAGGTAGAGTAGTTGAATCCATTTGGGCTGAACTAACATAGAGCTGGGGTGTAGCACAGCTCAGTGAGGAAGCTCTTGCCCTGGTACCACACATAGGGTGGGGGCAACAAGGAGTTTACCCAGCTGGTGCTCATTTCTGTTGCCATCTTACATGATTTAACATTTGAGATCTGTTCACAGAGCTGAGGTGGAGAATCACCTAGTGTATGTATTTTCTTTTGGTTTTGGAGCCTTTAGAGGAGATTATACAACTGGCATTTGGGGGAGAAGGGTATTTTGAAATCACTTCTATAGCCCGTGCATGACTGTTAACTTAGGCTGGGCTAGACAGATGACTCAGCAGTTAAGAGCACTGGCTGTTCTTGCAGAGTACTCAGGTTCGGTTCCCAGCACCCAGATGTTGGCTAACAACCCTCCTAACTCCAGGGGGTCCAACACCCTCTTCTGACCTCTGTGGGCATTCACAACAATATGCACTTACACACAGGCAATACATAATACATAAAATAAAAATAGTAAATAAATATAAAATTTAGACTCTAATCACAGTAGTTGGAAAAAAAATATAGAATATATCTCTTTTTTTTTTTTTGGTCTTTTTGAGACAGGGTCTCCCTGTAGCCCCAGCTGTCCTGGAACTCACTATGTAGACCAGGCTGGCATTGAACTCACAGAGATCCGCCTGCCTCTGCCTCCCAAGCTCTGGGATTAAAGGCGTGCAGCACCACGCCCAGCTTATTATTTTTATTTTATGTGTATGCGTGTATTGCCTCCCTGTAGCTAAGTGTACCTGTGTCGTGCTGTTCCCGAGGAGGATAGAAGAGGTTGTTAGGATTCTCTGGAACTGGAGTTCCAGACAGTTGTTAGCTGCCATGTGGGTGCTGGGATTTGAACCTGGGTCTTCTGCAGGAACAACCAGCATTCTTAACCGCTGAGCCATCTCTCTAGCCCCGTCATTTCCATTCTTAAACATTCTGCATAAATGTCAGATTTCCTGAGCTAGCTCTGCTCTGCTCTGCTCTTACTGAATGGGGTGATAATTGTGTTTTAAACTACTGTATAGGTGACAAGGAACACTCAGATTGGTCACTATTTCAATAACTACAGAAACAGCTTTGTTTAACCCAGCATTGGGAGATGAATTTTTTTTGAAAAGAGATTGAGACTTCAAAGTGAGGCTCTCCTCCCTGCTCGTGACATAAGCTCTTGCCTGGCCACTAACTGCTCTCAGTGCCCTACAGTTTATCCTTTCCGTGGAAGCTTAGTTTTCTGAGGCACTATTTAGAAAGCAAGACTTGAGGAAAGCCCTCCTGGTTGGTTACTAGGGATTTCTTGATTCCTGAAAAAACATTGCTTGTTGCTTAAAATATACACAAGCAGTTCTCTTTCCATAGAAACTGGGTGTCATCAAGCTATGAAGCTTTTTTGCTGCATTTGGGCTTGCCATTGCTTAGAGTACATTGATTCCTCTGTGAAATTGTAGCCCAATGGGGCCAGAGGGGCTGACTGGCCTGAAGGATTATTTATATGGTCCCTGTTAAATTAGTCCATATCCTATAGACCAGGTAAACTCTGGCTTCAAATCGAAGAAGTTTGTCTGCTTTCTGTTTTTATCTGGGGAGGCTAAAATGACAGTATGTACAAGCTAGCTCTTCTGTGTTCACATCCCTTCCTCCTTTCTCAGTCCTTTCAAAGACAAGACTACTTAGCTCCTGGTAACCTAACTGAAGCCTTCCCTTTCAAAAAAATTATTATTAGCTGGGCATGGTGGTACATGCCTTTAATTCCAGCACTCGGAATTGAAGGCAGAGGCAGGGGGATCTTTGAGTTTGAGGCTAGCCTGGTCTACATAGTGAGTTCCAGGCCAGCTGGGGCTACAGGGAAACCCTGTCTCAAAAAGACCAAAAAAAAAAAAAAATTACGTGTGTGTGTGTGTGTGTGAAATTTGCTTATTGTTATTTTATGTGTATAAATGTTTTAAGTGTTTTTGCTGTATGTACGTAAGTGCACGCATGTCGTCCAGTGCCTGTGGAGGCCACGAGAGGGTGTCAGATCCCCTGGAACTGGAGCTATAGATGGTTGTTAGCTGCCAGTGCGCTTAACCACTGAGCCATCTCTCCAGCCCCAACTTCCCTTTCTTAATATTCAAACCCATTCGTTTATTTTACCAATAAAAAGTTAGACATTTTATTTACTTTCCCTCTTTGTAGAGCTGTTTGGTTTAAGGTTAGAAGGTGACTTAAAGCAAGATGTAAATATTAAAGGAGTCTAAACGTCTAGGCACTACTTGAACAGACTTGGGGGGTGTAATCCTTTGTATTTAAGGCCGATTTGGGGGGAAAGAGTGAGCGTGTGTGCGTGTGTGGGTTTGCACATACTTGCATATGTATTTTGTGTGCTGCAGCTCTGTTATACTCAGCTGTTTATGCTCATGGAGTTGAAAAATCTTCAGATGATTCACTTGCTTTTCAGATGCATTATTCACCTGTTGGTCTTAACTGCCTTGTCTAGCACATTTATTCTGTCTCACGCTCAAACCAATTTTTCTCTAGCAGCCAGTAGTGTAGTAGTGTAAGGTGGGGCAATCAGGCTGACAGGGTACCCACCTTATAGGAACGAATTTCCTGAGTTTTAGTAGACTTGATAGTCTACTAGATTTTATTAGAATTTCCTTTTTTTTTTGGTCTTTTTGAGACAGGGTCTCCCTGTAGCCCCACCTGTCTTGGAACTCACTATGTAGACCAGGCTGGCCTTGAACGCACAGAGATCCACCTGCCTCTGCCTCCCGAGTTCTAGGACTCTAGGCATGTGCCACCACGTTTTTTGTCTTTTTGAGACAGGGTCTCCTTGTAGCCTCAACTGTCCTGGAACTCACTGTGTGGACCAGGCTGGCCTTGAACTCACAGATATCCACCTGCCTCTGCCTCCCAAGTGCTGGGACTACAGGCGTGCGCCACCATGCTCGGCTAGAATTTTTTATCATTTTGTGATTGTTCCACCAGAGGGTGGTGAAGGGACAGACACGAGGTAGAATTCAGACCATTCCTTTTTCTGGAGCAGGGCAGAGTGCCCTCAGTTCAGGTAAATGTAGGCAGATCCATGGTAAGCCTGGCTTCTTGTGTGAACATAGATAATGGTGCTGGACAGGCAGAGGCTTGATTGTCTCAACCCTTGGCTTGTAAAAGTGTGGCACATGTTACTTTCTAAATGAGGCTTTAGCACAGTAGTGGGTGAATGTGTGCATTTTCTCTTCTTTAAGTAGAAGTGTGCATTGTTATCTCTGACCATCATATAGCCCTAGTTATATGTTTACTGTTATACTGCTTTATTTATCTCTTCCTTAGCACTGTCTGAAATTGTCTCATGTTTACGTATTTATAGTCTTTTCACACACACGTCAGGCTGAATTTTTAAACTGGCATGGTACATACCTGGCACATGGAATGCCCCCAGGAAGAATACAAAGGAAGGAGTATTTGCCAGGATTAACAGTACTTATTCAGGTGCTGTGTTTTGGGGTTTTTGTTTGTTTCACTTTGGATCTCTAATAAAGCAGACTCTAACTTGGGAGGCAGAGGCAGATGAATCTCTGTGAGTTCAAAGCCACCCTGTCTACATAGTGAGTTTCAGCCCCCCCCCCCCCCCCCCCCAAAAAAAATACAGACTCTGTCTAGGTCAATCTTTTTTGACCTGCTTCCTGGGTTAGATCCTAACTTGGAAGGCATGATGGTGAATACGTTGGTGAATATCTTTCCTCTCCCCTACCCTAGCTTGCCAGCAAAGCGAGGACGGAGAAGGAGGAGAAGCTGAGCCAGGCCTATGCAATCAGCGCTGGTGTCTCCCTGGAGGGCCAGCAGCTCTTCCAGACCATTCACAAGACGTGAGTTGGGGGCATAGGAGTCCTTTTTTGTAGGGATGATGCTGCCTGGCTGTGCTGTCTGGTAGTAGGCTTATGGGTGGTGGTTTTCCTAAAAGTATAGCAGGGAAGCTGGGGTAATATACTGGCCACACTGGCATCCAGAGATGTGCTTGGTGCTCCTTTGCACAGGAGAATAGTGTTATCATAACTGCATCACTGTTTCTGGGCTTCAGTTTCTTGTCAGAAAAATTTATTTTGGATCAGATTGTAATGTTCTCTTCCAGACCTAGTAGCCCATGATTTAGAGATAACAATTAGCTTCTTGTATATTATTTTTATTATTGTTTTATTACCTTTCTCTAAAACCTTGTGGTTTTATTAAGGGAAAGTTGTATCACTTTTCTGAGTTGTACCTTGGGACAAATGTGGTCAGGAAGAACAGAAGGCCACCATCTTACCTCCTCCTGAAAGGCATTTTGTCACAGCAGAAGTCATTTGACTCTCTACTAGCTTCCCTAACTGCTGAAAACCTGGAACATTTGACATTCCCCCTTACTCCCCTGCTGCCTTCTGTTACCCTATTTAACCACCCATGGTCTGGTGCACAGATGGCAGCTGGCACTAGAGCTGTCTGAGGCCCGGGTGTATCTGAGCATTTCCAGGTATGTGGAGGAACTCTTAGTAGCATCAGCTGCCCCCACGGTTCCCATGAGGGGACTCAAATGGCTTTTCCTGGTCTGGCGGGTGTCTAGCTCTTTGATAATTGAGTGGGACCAGATGGAGTGCAACCTGCATGGTTTGGGGGTGGGAGTGGAGAGGCAGAGTACAGATCATTAGAAGAAAGGTGTTTTGCCTTTCTAGTGGTGAATTTCCCTAGGCCAAGGGTGGACAGTATCCCAGTGGGCAAGATCTGCTCATTTGTACATAACATCAGTTGCTACTTTTGCGCCACAATGGCAGAGTTCAGTAGTTGTTTATGATTTGACACTGGCTAGAAAACATTGCCAACCTCTGCCCTAGGCTGCTAAGTTAACTTTAGTGGCCTAAATCTAGTGTTTATTTGTAACTAAACTTGGTTTGGATTTCTGAGGCTGCCACCAAATGTTTTATGGTTCTCCAGGTCCCTGATGCTTCAGAGTAACAATTCTGGGCTCTCCTCAGGATAATGTGCATCAGTTTCATTGCTTTCCTGGCCAGCGGTGCCCAGGGAATGTTTCTTGGCTCCTCTCTCTGGCTGCTGCCATCTAGCTGTTGGCTGAGTGGTGAGCTGGGAACTTGGGGTCAGCCTTCTGGAATTAGTTCTTCATCAGGCAGGAGGTGTGGGATGTCCCTAAGATATAACAATCACCTACATTCTTCTCCTTCCAGCATTAAAGACTGTAAATGGCAAGAAAAAAACATCGTAGTCATGGAAGAAGTTGTTATTACACCCCCATATCAAGTGGAAAACTGTAAAGGCAAAGAGGGGAGTGCACTGAGCCATGTACGCAAAATAGTAAGTAAAGGAACCTGGAATCTTTGAGGAGAGGAAATTCCTTGGCCTTTCCCCCCCCTTGTCAGTGTAAGGCATTGTGCTTATGCTTCTATGGTACCCCTCTAGCAGTCCTGCCTGACCTCCTTGCATGGGGGCTCTTTGAAGCTGTGTCTTGGAAGATGTGAGGTTGGAAACACTAGGTGGTACGGAATAAAGTGAAAAGTCAACCATTTGTTCTTTAACACCTTGCTTTATAGACTTGGTCAGACCATTCCACTGTGTAGACTGAGCTGTTCTTCTCAGCATGGTGTGGCTTCTTAATTCTAAGTGCCCTTCTGTGAAGGGTTGGTTGGTGTAAATTGGTTGCCATTGGCATCTCTGATTCTACATATGCTACTTTTCTAGATTGGGGTGTAACATTTGTAGAAATGAAAATCATTCATATTCTTTTTAATATCTGAACATTGAGAGACCTGCACTTTGGATTTAGAAAGTACAGTAGGACTGAACTCCCTGCTTTTCATTCTGCACTTATGTCAAAAAGGAGGGAGGAAGTTGTGTGATAATAATCACCCCTGACTTTATTATGTATTAGTTTATGGATACAACTTCTAACCAGTCTTAGCTAAGCTGCCAAACACATGGCTGAAACAAGAGGCTCCTGTCTACCTTCCAGTTGGGACGGCCAATGGACAGAAAGGCCAGAAAAGTTGCCTGTACAGTCTGTGAGCCAAATATCCAGGCTCAGGCATGTGAAGCCTGGCTTAGGTTGTACAGGAGCCCTTGCCCCATCTTCTTTCCTGACTTGACTCCTTGGTCTCTTGCAGGTTGAAAAACATTTTAGAGATGTGGAAAGCCAAAAGATACTGCAGCGTTCACAAGCCCAACAACCACAGAAGGAGGCTGCCCTGTCATCCTGAGTCCACAAACTTGGAGGACTCTTCCAGCATCCAGCCACTGAGATGGTGGTGGTGGCTTCAGTGGAGGCAGGCCGGGGGAGGGAAGGGATCCTATATTTTCTGCTGGCTCTTGCTAAAGGGTCAGCATTTCCAAAAACCTAGACTTGAACAAACACCCAACAAAAAAGAGCAAGAGAATAATTTAAAAGTTGAATCATTACTTGACTAACAGACTTCGGTCCACCATCTCCTTTTCACAGCCCCCTTCTGGAACAGTCATCTTGTTAATTTTATTTTTGAAAATTCCTTTCCCACTCTGCCCTTTCACCTCTGACTTTCCTTTCCTAGTCTGTTCCTGCCATTCTGTTTTTATAAGTGGATACACTTGCCTTCTGAATGATTGAAAGAAACTTTTACATCTTTTCTTCCAAAATAAAAGTAACGGGCAGGGGTCTCGGGAGTCCAGGGCAAGGGGCCAAGGAGGAGGGCTTCACAGATACACTTGACTTCTGAATGATTGCAAGAAACTTTTACATCTTTTCTTCCAAAATAAAAGTAATAAGCTGACTGTGATTCTTAAGTTGAGACCAGAGCAGAAGACAGAGGTCTCACTTCAAATTCTCCTTTTTTTCTCTCTCTTTTTTTTTCCCTTTTTTTGCACAGAGCATGGCTTGAATTAGTTTTATTTTTAACTTTAAATATATATGTGTGGAGTGATCTTCTGTCTGGTTTTCCTGTACCTATACTACTTTTCCATTGCTTTTTACTAGATCATGGCCACTCTTCCCACCTCATCCCTCCGAAAACAAAAATGTGTTCCCCTTTCTACCCAGAGCCAGATGATTAACTTGACTTAGTTCACAGCAAGGATCTCCTGCAGCACTCTGCAGAGCCCGTGTGTACAGATGGGATTTGGCTTGGAGGGTTCCTGATGGCTTTCTAGTCTTAGTCTCACAGTTGGCCCTAGCCTCAGGACTCCCTCTGCCTTTGTCTTCATGGTACTAGAAGAACTCGCCACTCTCCACCCGGGAGTCAGCACCCCTCCCCCTGTGCCTCTGCAGGAAGAACTTGCTTACATGGCACATCTCAGCTCTTCCTCCTCTGGGGCTGATTTTCTCTTCTAAGAAACCTGGATTCCATCTACCCCAACCTTTCTTTTAAGTCTATGTCCAGAGCCTCTAGCCCAGGAAAAAGCTTGAATGACCTCTAGTTTCTTTTCTACCATTTTCCTGCTCTTCTGCCCCTTCTACCCCCTGAAATCTTACAAGCTAATGACAGTTTGTATGTGCTCAGCCAATGGGCAGAAAACATGGAAACAATTTCTGGACTTTAACCCACCAGTTTGTCTGGTTTGACTAACCTGCTGAGAGCCGAAACTGGCACTACGTTGCCCCTGCACCTTCAGGGTAGCCTCGTGGGGCAGAGTGTGCCACCACCTGAATATCAGGCACTGAGTGGGGACAAGGGTGGTGCTCATGTGACTGGCTAGAGCTTTGGGGGTAGGGTGGGGCTAACTTTTTTTTTTGGCCATGATCTCTTTTCCCTTCCTTTTTTTTAATTAAATAAATGGATCAAAATTAAATAATTCAAGCCCTGCCTTCAAAATGGAAAAAAAATTTTTTTTTAGTATTGTTTAGCAAAAACAATAAAACCCCAATTTTTTTAACCATCACTCGTGTCAGGTTTGTGCGTACTTTAGCGTCCCCAGATGAAGGGCGTGAAATGGCTGTTCTGTTCAGCCTCTCCCTTTGGATTGCCTGCATTTTTTTTTTTTTTTTTACCATCTCTTCTTGAGAACTTACCCAGAAATATAGTGCAGGCCCTGTTTATAAGATGGTCCAAGGCTGGTGAGATGGCTCAGCAGGTAAGGGCACTTGCTGTGCAAGACAGGTGACCTGGGTTTGATACCCAGAACCTGTGTAAGGTGTGAGGAGAACCAACTCCACACAGTTGTCCTCTGGCCTCCACTGGCATGCACACCAATTCATACACAATAAACTAAAAAGAAGGGGATCCAGACTTGAGTTGTGTATAAGTGGTGTGGTGTGGGGAGGAAAAAAAACGTGAATCTCTACATAGAGCATTGAGTAGAGCTTTCTAAATAGAATAGCTGAGAAGTAAACCTTCATATCCACCAGCTATTGGCCCAAGAACAACCTTGCTTTGGACCACACCAAGATGAAGACTTTGGGGGGAGAAGGTAAAAATGGAGACTAGGGGGCTGGCGAGATGGCTCAGTGATTAAGAGCACTGACTGCTCTTGCAGAGGACCCAGGTTTGATTCTCAGCACCCATGTGGCAGCTAACAACTGTCTGTAACTCCATTTCCAGGGACTCCAACACCACCTTCTGACCTCTTTGGGCATTGCACGACACAGGTGCACTTACACATGCAGGCAATGCACTCACATATAAAATTAAGATAAATTATTTTTTTTTAAATGGAGATGATTGCCGGGTGTGGTGGCACACGCCTTTAATCCCAGCACTCAGGAGGCAGAGGCAGGTAGATCTTTATGAATGCAAGGCCAGCCAGGTCTACATAGTGAGTTCCAGGACAGCTGGGACTACAGGGAGACCCTGTCTCAAAAAGACCAAAAAAAAAAAAAGGAGAAGAGACCTTGTTGGATTCAGAGCACCCAGGAAATATGGTTAAAGCATGAAGATAGCTGGTGGTATGAGCTTGTAATCCAGTCCATGAGAGACTGAAGCAAGAGGATCCAAAGTTCAAGGCCAGCCAAGAGTTACATGGTTCCAGGTTGTCCTAGGAGACACTGTCTCAAAGTACAGAAACCAAAAAACAGAGTGACAGTCACTTGATCAGTGGGAAATACAAACCTATGTTTTCATTTCCTTTTCATAGGTCTGTGAATGAGGAAAATGGGTGCTAGCTGGGCTGGAGAGGAAACAATTTTGATTATCTGAAAACTGCTTTTTCCCCCCAGAAAGCATGGATTGCATGAGGGGGAATGACTTGTCCAAAGTGCTCCACCTCCCTGTGGTGGCAAAACTGGAACACTACCACAAACCTCGCATTCATGGGCCTCTAATGCACCATTGACTTTCCAAACTGATGCCCTGGGTACTGTTCACTTCATTTGTCAGGTTTAGGATGCAGTGTAGAGGAGACTGGTGAGAGTAATTGCCCCCTAGAGTGAAAGGACACTAAACTATCCAGAAATATGGTTATGGTATAGAGGACTTGCATCTTTGTTGAAGCATTTATAGGCAGTTTGACAATGTTTTCTTGGCTTTGAGGCATTTACTTTCTCTCCACATGTACTCTGATACCCAGCGTCTGATTACCTCTCTACCACTTGCACACCCAGTGTTTGGGGTCCTCACTATTTAGTGTAAAGTTTGTGTGTGTGTGTTTATGTGCATGTGTGAGGGTTCCTGCAGAGGCCAGAAGAGGGTGTCAGATCTCCTGGAAGCTGGAGTTACAGGCATTTGTGGGCTGCCCAACATAGGTGTTTGTGTGTGTGTGTAGGTTAGAGGACAACTTGCAGGGATTGGTTCTACCATGTGAGTTCCTGGGCTTGAATTCAGGTCATAAGGCTTGGCAGCAGTCACTTTTACCCACTGACTTGTACTACTGGTCCTCCGAAAAATTAAAAAAAAAATTATTTGTAGGTATGGGTGCACATGTGCCGTGGTGTTTGTGTGGAGATCAGAGGACAACTTGAGGGAATTGGTTCTCTCCTACCATGTGGTCTTGAGGATTCAACTCAGATCGTCAGCTTGGTGCAGGAGCTTTTTACCTGCTCAGCCATCTTGCAAGTCCTGTCCCTAACAATTTTGGAACTAAGAATCTGTGTTTCAAAATCTGTTCGAGGCTGGTGAGATGGCTCAGTAGGTAAAGATGTTCACCCTGGAACCTGTAGAGGTGGAAGGAGAGCACCATTTCCATGAAGCTGTCCTCTGACTTTCATATGTGCACTATGTCATGCATTGTATGTGTACAAATTTTTAAAAAAATCTCAGCTAGGAGTGGTGGCACACTTCCAAGTCCCAGCACTCGGGAGGCAGAGGCAGGCAAATCTCTGAGTTGAAGGCCAGGCACAGGGAGACCCTGTCTCAAAAAGACCAAAAAAAACCAAACTTATACAATCAGTCCAACTGCCCTGCTTAGAAAAGAGGAAATGACATGTATTGCTGGGAGTTGAAGGGGATGGGGTGAATGGTGGGACAGTGACAGGACCCAGTGTGGGGTGACCTGGAAGGTGGTTATATCTATGTAGTGGGTTTGCCTTTCCATCGTTGCTAATGGCTACTGGGACCAAATTTCCCCTTAAAACTTGGTATCATCCCAGGTGTGCTGCCTGAACTGTGGAGGTTTTATGTAATGACAAATAGCATGAAATACCTCACAGGTGAAGAGGGAATACAATGGCGTTGTCACCTGTTGGTGATAGACTGTGCTGCTATCAGTTTTGAATTAAAATTTGCTCTTTTAGAAGGGGGTTAAGAGAGATGGCACAGGGGTTAAGCACACTAGATGTTCTTGCAGAGGACCAGGGTTTGGTTCCCAGTACCCATGGTGGCTAACAACCCATTGTAACTCCAGTTCCAGGGTATCCAACACCCTCTTCTGACCTCCACAGGCATTGCATCCATGTGATGCACTTAATGTACATGCAAGCAAAACACCCATACACAATAAAAGTAAATATTTTTTTAAAGCCTTATATGGTTCATAACAATAAAAGGTAAAAATTTTCCACCCATCACTCTCCAAAATACTGAAATTATTATGTATGCTGTACGGTTCATATTTCATCTTCTGAGACTCCTTGCCTCTCTTGCATTTCTGAAAATAGTGTGCTTCAGTGTCAAACTTGCAAATAATCCTTCTTTCCCTAGTCACAGTCAGTTACTAAGTCAGTGGTGTACTGTACAGTCTGTTGGCACCTGTAATGATGTTGCTAAAAGGTTTGAACTACTTATCCTACAGTGCCCTGCTTCAAAGGCAGCTCTGAAGCTATCCTTGACAGTGGAAATGGGAAGTGATCCCTGTGGTGAGTTTTTTAGTGTGTATTGCTCATGTTAGGTGCCACATATGAACTGCATTAGAATCACTCATTGAGTTTTATCTTCAGTGGTTCTATTTTTTTGTTTACTTGTAAGCTTGTTTGAGACAGTCTCCCTATGTAGTCCAGTCTGGCCTGGAACTCAGGTTCTGCTTCA